GAAGTTCCTCTTTGTCAATAAGATCAAAATTCCAAACCGCAGAACCATCACAAAAATACAAAAGATATTTATCTACTCGAAACCGATAACATATCATAAGACATAGCGCTAAGTTTCCATACCTGGATCTCTATTAGAACCATGGCATAGGTGTAGGCAAAAGCAATATTTCCAAGAGCTTGAAAACAATGCCAAACCTTTGTAGCTGCGGAGATATTTCCGCCTGTGTCTACTCCAAGAACGGTTCCTCTGACTTGCTGATGAGCAGAGAATTTTATTGCAGACAAATATAGAGCAATAAAGGAGTATAAAATTGACATCGCGGCTGCAGTGTATGAGAGGATTGAAACCTTTTCCAAGTTAGGAAATTGGGACAATATTACTTCGACCACACCAAACATAATACCATATAGGATTCCAGAAGCCTCACATACAGCACTTTTACCATTCTTGTGATAGCAATGTGACAGCTTAATGGCCCTGATAAGGGGGGAAAATCTCAAAAACAAAAATTTTAGCGAGAGTAATGTTGTAAAAAGAACAACTTACATCATGCTCATGCAAGCTGTGATGGTATAGCCCACCATAGTTCCCCATAGAATAAGATACTGTACGATTCCACATAGTGAAACATCTTTCTCACCTGCAATTAGAAATGATGGTCTTTGGTAAATGTTTATATTCTTTTGGCTTTCATTTCTAAGAGTGTTAGTTTTTATGGGATTATCTGGCTAATGGAAAAAAAATTTATGTCGACATTTCACCATACTATTCCTGCCAACTGATCTCAAATGTCATGTAGCAATCCTTTTTTTTCCATTAATCATGTATAATCCTTTTATGTTAGTTCTTGTTGTTAGTGGTGTTGTTAGATCCTCAGCTTTCTCTTGCTTGTTCTCTTATCTGCAGTATTATAAATTGAAACACTAAATGCTGTCATGGCAGAAAACGTAGGTGTAAAACTGTCTTACCAAAAATGCTGATTTGTTGGTTCTAGTAGATATGCATGTTCTGGATTAACTTGAACAGGTGAGTTCTTTTAGAACCTATCTGTTCTTAAGAGGATTACAAATTGATATCTCACTGAACAGTGGTTAAGTATTTTGTTTGAAGATGCCTTAAAAGCTTTGAAGGTTTTCGATTTTATCTTGCAGGATTCACTATGTATAGTCATTAGTATCAATAAAATTTGTAATAAAAAACATTTTCCTCGTTATAAAAAGAAACTTCAAACCTATGGCATGAGTGTGTTTCGGATCTCAACTGTCTCTTTGTGCCTCTTTAAACTTAATGATGGCTCGATTTTTTTGGGGTCATGAGGAGGGAACTCGAAAACTTCATTGGTTAAGCTGGGATGAAATGCGTCAATCCAAGAGAGATGGCAGCATGGTGTTTAGAAATATGGAGGCTTTTAACTCTGTTCGACTTGCTAGGCAAGGTTGGCGTATAATTCACTGTTATAAATAGCGGTAAATAGCTCCGCAATAGCGACGCTAATAGCGTTAGCGGTCCCTTCCCGCGTTGCTATTGCCCGCTACGCTATCGCACAATAGCGGTGACATATTACGGAATATGTCTGTTCCCAAAAGCGGCCAATAGTGTGTCATAACGATAAATAGTGAGCGATTGCGTTCGAAATTTGCTTTTTGACTGCTATTTAAACTTGGTTTGGGGCTTATTTTTTTAAAATTAAACTCAACCCTTGACCATTGCATTCCACCGTCTCCTGTGATTTTCAGCATACTCCCGCCACCTCTCATAGCCTCTGGCACCTACCTTGATACTTCCTCTCATCTCCTTCATCGTGAGCTTCTCTTAGGACAGTCCTGTCACCGCTAAGCTCTTCTTCTCGAAGACGACGTCTTTTTGACTCCTCTAGTCATCTTCGGTATTACGTGATGGTTACATGTCTATTTCATGTTTAGGATCTCTCTTTTTGACTCCTCTAGTCATCTTCGGTATTACGTGATGGTTACATGTCTATTTCATGTTTAGGATCTCTTTAAATCATCCAATATGTACTTTTAGATTTCTTAGATTTTTTTTTAATTTTTCTTTTTTTAGTATTTATACATATCTAAATTAGACCGCTTGACTTTGCGCTTTTTACCGCTATTTTGCCGCAATAACCCAAAATAGCCTTAGCGATGCCTCACCGCTACGCGACGCTATCCGCTATCGATAACCTTGGTATAATTACAGAACCATTCCCTTCGGCAGCCTGAGTTTTGAAAGTGAGGTACTTTCTGTTTTGCTCTTTCTGGGAGGCGGGTATTGGAAACATCCGTCTTACATTGGGAAAAGTGCTCGTGTTGGAAACATCCTTCTTACATTGGGCAAAGTATTCATGGAGCTAGAGGCACGTTAGAAGCCGGTGTTCGATGGAGAATAGACAGACGGGAAGGGATCTGCATGTGGAGTGACAATTGGGTGCCTTGTCCATCAGCATTCAAGGTGATTACACCTCCTAATCAAAGTCGAATAACTTTGACTGTGAAGGAGCTCATTGAGCCTCTTACACATATATGGAATCTAAGTGCTTTCCGAGAAAATCTGTGGGAGTTGGATGTCCAGCAAATTCTTTAGATTGCTCCTCCAAGTAATCCTAGATGTGATTCACCAGTTTGGCATTATACTAGTACAGGATGCTCCTCAGTAAGGTCTGCGTATCGTCTGGAGCTTGATATCAAGCAAATAGCAGCAATTTCTGGGAATGGAGAAAGTAGCGAAAAAGCTTCTGCGTTTCTTAGTAAAATCAAACATTTTCTATGGAGAGTATGGAATCCTATAGTTTTGAATTTGAACCATCATCATGTGCCTATTATTGCTCAGTGCCAACATTGTGAAAGGGAGATTGAATCTATTGAACATGTATTGTGCTTTTGATGAGATGGCCATCGTACTTGGGAAGCAAGTTTTTTTTATCTCCACAATTTTACATTCGCTATGGAGAGAATTTTTCTGACTGGTTAGTAGATGTGGAGAGGCACTTGATACAGCCCAATTCGAGCTACGGGGTAGCTTCTTTGCAACAATCGAAATAAGCTTTTGTTTGACGAGAAGGAGACTAATGGGATTTGAGTATGGGGTATTATGGTGATAGATTATCCGAAGGAATGGACACACGCACAAATTGTTCGTGATAACTCACTAGTGGGTATAGTTTATAATAAGATGACAAGGTGGTCTCCCCCTCCAGTGAATCAAAAAAAATTAAATGTGGATGGAAGTTTTGAGAGTAGCTTTGGTGTTTTAACTATAGGAGGAGTTATTCGAAATAGTAACAGGGAAGCTCTCATGGCTTTTGTGATGCCAGATGTGGGATGGGTGTCTGCTGAGAACACTGAAGTTATTGCAATCATAAAAGGATTTTGGTTTTCAAGAGATGTTGGGATTCCTATTTCATTTGGGACTCGGGATTGCAAGGGGATTGTTTTGTTATTGCAGAACAATAATTTTGATCTCCATCCTTTGGGTCCTGGCCTAGAAGAAGGGGTGCTATGTGGTTCTCCTCTAATTATTTATGTGTCGCGAAGCAAACAAAATACCACATCAGGTAGCAAGTTTTGGGCTACAATTAAATAATGTGAGTGTTTGGCTCAATTAGTTACCTCAGGAGTTTTCTGCAACCCTTTTTTTATTGAATGCTGAATTAGCTTATTAATATAGTGGTTTCATCCAATCTGTGGAGGATATTCATTTCTAAAAAGTAAAAGAAAAAAAAAGATACTTCAAAACATTCATTTTCAATTTTTTATTTCTACATTTACAAGTGTATGTGGCGTATGGATTTTCTATTTTGATGACCTACATGCCTACTATTAAGGTACGTAGGATTCATTTCTGAAATTGGATGTGCCATAGCTTGCTATTTATGTAATTTAATGATTCCCCTTGTCTTATCACCTAATATTGGAATCACCCTTGTATTGTATAAGTGTAAAAGCCTATATTGTAGCAATAGATATGCTATATTACGAATCAAAATGTAGAATGTCTACCAAGAAATGCTCTTATAGCATCCATGTAAGTGTAGTTACGCCTTCCTTTGATGGGGTCAGGAGACCGATAACAGTCAGAGAGGAGAATGGAACAGTAATAGGTAACGAAAGCAAAGAGAACGAGAACAATAGGGCCAATTATCCAGCCAAGTTGAGCAATACTCCATGGCAGTGTCAGGACACCGGTCCCCACTATCGCTGTGATTGCATGTGCCGTAGCAGTCCACACGGTTCCTAAATGATCAATCAAGAAGTAATTTATTAAGATAGATTAAGAACTTAGCACATCCTTTAAGAGTATAGGCATATACTTGCATGATGAGATAAACCATCTATAGTGTATAATTGAAGCTATATTAGACACTTTATATATACTCAAGAAATTTATTTCATTCTCAAGTGGAAAAATCCAGTGGAGATGCTTCCCTTTCAAATGGTGTTCTAGAGATGTCATGTAAAATACAAATGAGAAATGAAGCGGGCATAAAGTTTCAAACATGCACATTCTGTTTTAATACTTGGCACATATTTGATGGATTCTTATTCACTTACCTTGCATGTAAGATACAGTATTTGGAAAGACTAAAGAATTAATTTCCCTTTTAAAGGGAACATTTAAAAAAAAACACTTGCATGGATTTTCCAAATGAATCTTTTTTCTTAAGAAAAGTTATATATTTGAGAAATAAAGAGCTAGATTGTGAATTATCCTTGTAGCACTCTATATATGCAGTATCTAGGTAAATTTAAATAAGATAACATTCATATGGTGCAAGAAAAAAGTTAGATATGTATTAGTGATATCAAATTATACTACTTTTCATTGTTTTTGTGATAGATATATAATAGTGATATAAGATTACATAGCCTGTAGCTAGGGTTAAAACAGCTACGAATACCTGCAAATTATCGACATCCAAATCCAAAGATACGGATATTGGATATTGGACATTAAATATACAGATGCAATTATGGTTATTACTCTTTTATTGTCTGTTGCATATAAATATGTACGTATATTTTTGGATAATTGTATTAATTACACTATTAAAATCATTCTGGCCCTAGATAAGTGAATCAAATCCTAGGTTTTCAAGATGTGCGGGTGGGCTTTGATTTGGAAATTTATGCTTTTTTAGACAGTTCTCTATCATATGCTTTCAAGTCTTTCAGATTTCTCTACTTCCAGTTTGTATGAGGTAGTTTTCCTCCCATCACTTTGTATCCATATTCGATCTTGGCAGACATGGCTATGTGGTTTTTCAACATATCTGCATCTGTATCCATATATGTGATTAATAAATGTATACGGATTTGATAAATGCCATGTCAGTCAATATCCAAACCATTTGCACTCCCGATAGCATACCTTTAAATAGACACATGCCTTAGACAGAACCTTAAATAGGAATTATTAACCATTCATTTTATCTTTCATATGTTTCTTTTCTAAAAATTTGTTACTAAAGATAAACTTGAAATTACTTGACTAAAGTTGTCAAAGTGGTTGCATTTCGTATGTGCTTATCACGGTGTACTGTAATTTTATCCAAAACTGGTGCATGATAGCTATTATTGTGCAGGTCTCTTTTTGAACATGTGTTTCTTCGCCTTCCCATTTTTATTTTGGTTCCGGTTGCAGTTTTTATAAACTGAAAGAATAACTATCAAAAACATTATTACTTATCTTGATTTTTTATTAATATTTGGTATAGTTTTCAATTGTATTCAATAAGGTTCATGCACATCCTCACCACATGAAGGGTTCTTTTATGTACATACATTTGCCTTGATGAACGCTCAGGAGATATCTTTCAAAGCTTAAGAAATTCAGGTTTCATGTTGAGGGTGTTGATGTGCGGTTGCCTCTTTTCTTTTTCACTTAAACCTTGAGGAACTTGGCCTTGTAATGTTCGAAAATGGGAAGCCCATACGACATGTAAGTATGATTCAAGATTTATGTACACTGCTTATTTTGAACTCCTTTTCGTCAACTGATTCGTGTACACTACTTATTTTGAACTCCTTTTCACTAACTAATACAGAGGACACCTTTTGATGAACTATGGAAATACTTACTAATCTCATCTGATAACCAAGAATATGCTGTCATCTCTTTGAACTATGCTAGAGCCTCCCTTTATTAGAAGGGTCCATATACAGGACAAATTGCAATATGTGAATGTTCAACAAAGTTACTGGACCATAATAAATCTCGATTTTTGCAGATAATAGCAGTTGAATACAATCTCATCACCATGTAACAAACCATGCTTCGCTGCTTTTTCCCAATACTCTTCGCCCAATTCTTGGATTGTACAACATAGAAAGATTTCTCCAATGGAAGTTATTTATGAGCTCCAAGATCTACTCTTTTTGGTATTTTTGGCAACTATGTGTTGTCTGAGTATTTCTTCATTCTTGCAGAGTTCATTGAAATTTTTCTAGAAAATTCAAAATCACTGCCAGTTACTCAACTTCTTGATATGCTTTCAAAATCATCTAGTTTTACGTCATCCTCGCCCAGGTCTATTAATATAATTCACTGGTATCAATCTTCACGAGGTAACCTACTGACATCCACACCATTGTAAACTGGTTCAGGAGGAGGCTATTGGTAGGTAATCAATTGTCGTCGTTGTCAGAGCATCAATCATAAGTCAAAATTTCACTGCAGCAAGAATTTTATCATCCAACTCCTTCTGATCCTCCACAAACATGAAAGTTGGCTTTTTTAACTTGGCAAATAGAAGGGGTTCCAATTTGTTCTTAGTCAAGACTGTGAGCATCCGAACGTTCCATGTAATTAGTGAAACTGGTATTACTTTTATCTTCTTGATATTCTAGTTTGTGGTGGTAGTCGTCACCTGAGGTTATGATCGACAATATTTCTGTTAGGGATCAAAATTAACATGTAGCCTCATTCACTTCCATTCATGGTACTTTACAGCCTAACCAATGGAATCAGAGATTCACGGTTCAATGAATCTCTCGGATCCTATGTGTGAGGACATGGTCGGCCTGGGTTAAACTTCAAAGTGGAATGCATGTGTTATTTGATATACAAAGCAATGAACCGTTGGGTGATGCATTAGAATCTGCGTAGGAGCCAAGATGGAGTTTTGTTAAAATTTTATTGCATCTAATGAGGATCATCGCGGGTTTGGTCTAGGAAAAACATGAGGTTTAGTTCATTGCGAAGGTGGAACATATTTAAGGAAAATTCTTTTGGATCGGCATCAATCCATGGCTGATTTGGCTAATCCATTTCTATCAGCAGGCTTTCGCAACCTAACCAAACGAGCATGACAAACTAGATAATAAGTGGTCGAGACCCATGAGTATCAGTTTCACAGAAACTGAGGTTATATTGAGATCAGCTGAATTTTATGTTAGCCGAATGCATCCTATTTAGGCACCAAAATCATACCACACATGAACAAATTAATGATCAAAGTCTCATGGTCACAGATCAATCCCGAGCAATTGTTGCTCCACGCCATAATCTGAAATTCATATAATATGAATCTTGCACATGCATGTGCATTTAACAAAGCAAGGATGGGATTTCTGTGTAAATCAGTGCAGACAAGCGAGAAAAAAAAAAGGAAGATGAGAATCAAATGCCATAACAAATTAATAAGGGATTTCATTTTACTCAAACAAACAGCAAACAAACTGTTGTTATATCAGAAATAGCTAGCTAAAATTATATGACTACGATTACATGATGAATTCGTCAGAAATCATCGGAGCTAGGCAACAAATCAAAGGCTCCAAGCTCATACGCCCTTCATCTAGCAGTTGCTAGATATATACCCTTGTTTATCTTCCTCCTAGTAATTCAGGGTAACCTGAAGAAAGATGTTGAGAATTGTGCTAGAGTGAACTACAAAGGACTAATATTTTTTGCCCCTCAGTCTTCCTCAATTTTTTTTTTTTGTCTCCAATGAAAAAAAATAATAATAATAACGCTGAAAATAGGGCATTAATTAAGGAGCTAATTACCTGTTCTAATGCGGTCATCATCTTCCACAACCTGCTCAATTTAGCAGTAGTAATTAATTAGTGTTTGAGCCTTTTGAGGAAGAAGCCAAGGTAATATCTTAAATGCTCATTAAACACTCTTAAGCTTGTTAATTAGGAGCGCATGCATGCAGAAACATCCAAGGATAGGTTGGTAGAAGACCGGGAGCGGTGCACACTTGTCACCTCACTCTCCTTCGTTAAAGTAAATTAAAGGAGGTCATATTTACTGACAGTCAACTCTTCTCTTCTCAATGTTCTCTCATCCATTAAGCTCTTGCACAATAACTTAAAAAGGTAGCTGACAGCACAAATCATTTTTGACTTTCAGTTTGAATATGTCGCGTGGTTTGAATAATGTTTCGCATTGTGGGCACATTTTCTTAGCTTGTCGGAGTTATATATGTACTTATAATCCTCAGTTCTCACCATAGTTTGAGAATTTTGTGCAATGAAGAGGTGTATCGAAGCGATCTAGGCTCAAATCACACACAAATCTCATAGACTTAAGTGGATTAGAATAAAATCATCACTGTATGAGTCCAGGTCTCGGCCATGAGAAGGACTCTCAACTTGTGGGGACGTGTTTAATTTCTGGGCCAACCCCGTGATTTGAGGATTAAAAGGTTACATGAACATTTAGCATGGTAGTGATCATCTTGACTTTCTTTTAATTAGTCATATCTAGCATTCTTTTTCCCAGTTAAAATTATGATATACAAACATAATTCAGACTTCTAGCCTTTTTCACCATTTTAACCCCCATGGGAGTTGGTTTTGAATTTAGTCTTTGTGTAAATTAAATGTCAAGAGAAAAAAAATTGGTCGTGTCCTAATTTGGAGTATATGTACATCCAGGGGCGTAGCCAGGGCAGTCTTGCCCTGGGCAGCTGCCCAGGGCAAGAAACTGCCCCACTTCACCTCCCCCTCCCGCCTCCCCTCGCTTCCCTTCTTCTCCGGCCACTTTACCTTCCTCTTCCGCAGATCCAACCTCCTCTCCCTCCTCTTCCAGGACCTCCATCTCAACAATCTCAAACCCTCCTCCCTCTCCCGCGCCTCCCTCCTCTCCCTCACCGAGCTCCTCTCCCTCCTCCGTCGCTTCAAGTCCCTCACCGCCGACCACCTTTAGTTTTCGCCCAGGGCAAAAAATATTTCTGGCTACGCCACTGTGTACATCGTTATGTGGAGATAGTTTGGATGGTTTACAAAATTTGTCCCCGTATAGTATTTCTCCTCTTTAAATGGCATGTTATTTCTCCTTGAAAGGAAGAAAACAGTGCGCAATTATGATATTTCTTGTCACATATCATTGTGGAACATGAATATTTTCAGAAATCATGTGCGTTTGTATTTGCCAAAAAATCTAACAGTAGAGATATTTTACAGCTTAAGCTGAAATTAACCGTTGTTTGCAATATTTTTTACATGCAACACTTGTTGCTTTCACGATTCCAACGTATCAAACAGCACACTTTCCACAAATAATAATCACCACTTACGCATTGCACGGACCAATTCAAACCAGTTTCCGAACATCAACAACATCAAAGTTCAGCTTTAAGCAGTTTTACATGCTTGAGTCTGTCTCCAATATCCGCAACCGAACCAACCGCTGCAAGAACCGACACAATCAACGAAACCACACTCAATGCTTGAAGCACAATCCATTTTCTATCTCCAGTCTTAATCTGAGCCTGCGCTATATACATCGTCACAGGAAAATATACTGTCAAAGGCCAAAAGGCAATAGAGCCAAGCAAACCGAGGATTGCATTGAAGAAAGGGAGAAGCATGGCGATGAGAGTGGTGAAGATCACCAAGAGTGTTCGAAGGAGGAGCATGCAGAGAGTGAAGCGAAAGGAGTGGGATTTCGTGAGAGGAAGGGTGTAGGTCTTGTGGAAGAAAGCAGAGTTTGGCCATTTCTTGGATAGATATTCCTCGTACTTAGCATAAATAGGTTGTGCATAAACCTGAATAAATGAGAAAAAAAAGAGAAAGAAAAAGAAATGAATTCTACTGCTACTTTCATATTACTTTGATACTACAAGACTGAAATATATTCTAAAAATCAAGACATAGGAAGAACGTTGCATGCGTATCTTGTAGTGCCAAATATTATGAGCTTATTAGTATAATTATTAGTAGCTACCCTTTGACTAATTCGTTTAATTTAGTTGTCTATTTTCATTTTGTCACTTTTGTGCAAAGATATAATAAATCATCATTTAGTCATCCGAGTTTACTGGTAATAAAAATGGATTGTTAAGGGGAATAACGAGGAAAATATATTATGCTGAATAAGTGTCAAATCTACCCCACCTATTCCTCGGGCTAATTTATTCCATCAAAGAGAAAGAACTAAATGCATTAATAAAAGTTTCTCTGAGATAACTAAATTAAGGTAAGCCGGCCACTAATATAACTGATTTGGATGGAGTAAAATTTAATCATAACACTAATAAAGGTGTTGCCATTCCCCCAGTGGGATGTACACTAACTTTTAAGAACTACTTTTCTACTCAAATGAATGACATGAATATAAGCTTGTCATTATACTAGAGATAATAATATCAAAACAGTATGAAAAATATGGTTTAATTATCATTATGCTTAGAAATATCTCGGTTTGAATCAAGAGCATTCTTAATAACATAAATTTGTTTGAACTCATACCTGAAAAGCACCAACGAGATGTACAAGAACTGCGACATTAGCTATGTCCACCAGCCAAAATGGTTCATAAAATCCTGTCAGAATGTTCCCTGGTGCATCATTTCCAAAGGCTGCATATCCAAAACAACCTAGCGAGATGTAGAAGATCGCTGTGATCCCTATCGCATAAAGGCTCGCTTTCTTCATTGTTTGGTTCTCAGGTGGTGGTGATTTCAATGTATCCTTCATAAAACGTTCCAAGAAAAAGTTGAATATCATGAATGATCATTGCAAGGGTATTGCCACAGTAGAAAATTGCAATCCCATCACAACTACAGAAAATTGCAACCACATCACAACTTCAGAGTTTTAATACAGTGGAAGGAACTTAGAAATTGTATCAACAACTAGTTTCAAACTCCACTGGACATACAAACACAAATATGTATAAATGAAAATTTGGAACACATATATTTAGAAGGAAAAAAACCACTATGTAAAATATCTAGGTTCAGGCCCTCGAGGTAGCTTGGTATTTTATCTGTAAAGGCATGTTATGATTTAGTGGAAGGGAATTTAAGAGAGAAGATTTATGATGTGCTTTAAGGCAATATTTGTCACAAATTCAACTACACTCTACATATGAAATAATTTTAAATGGTAATGAGATACCTGGATCTCAATAAGAAGCATAGCGTAAGTATAAGCAAAAGCTATGTTCCCAAGAGCTTGGAAAGAATGCCAAACTTTTGTTGTTGCAGGAACTCCGTTGGCACCTTCAACCTTAACTCCTATGAGAGATCCTTCAACCGAGTGATGAGAAGCAAACTTTCCGATGCTCAAAGCTAAAGCAACAATTGAGTAGACGCATGACATTATAGCAGCAATGACCGATATCAGCGTTATTTTCTCAAGATTTGGAAATTGCGAGAGTACAATTTCGACCAAACCAAATATGATCATGTACAGGTTTCCTGAGGCCCTGCAGTGTGCGTCATGTCCCTTGTAATGGAAACAGTTTGAACGGTCTACAGACCTGTATCATTTTGTATACTCAGCGTCCAGTCCTTGTGACATATTGAGTGAGAAATTGCAAGTTTTCGTAATTCATGATATAAACATTAGTTTCTTTGTAGGAAAGAGAGAAGGCATGTAAAATTATATCAGTAACTCAAAATAAGTAATCAAGGATCAAGTAACTATACCTAAAATTTCAGGTTGACAGGTTTTGATAGATGATTAGCTCAAAAAAGAGATTTTTAGGGGTTCTAGATTTAACCCTCGAGATCTCCTTGTTTTGGTATTCAGGTCATAAATCCTTATATTTTTATATTTTCCCTCAAGTGACAAAAGTTCTTTCAAGAAAAATCTTCAAGAAAATTAGTTCTAGTTTATGTACACAGATTCTTCCCTAGAGCTTAACCAAATTTCTTTATTGTTCCAGTTTTAATTGAGATAATTTGGAAAAGAGTAATGATGCTTTCTTCAAATGATCAGGCTTATTTGATCATTCTAACTAATTAATAACTAATAAACTCGGATATTTTTTCCAATAAGGACTAAATTAAAGATACCTTAGGAGAATACAAAATTGAGAGTAGAATACCAGGATAAAGAAGATATCACGGGGCTATATATATGTGCAATATTAGTCCTCTTTCTCGCCTCTTGTCAAAGAAGTACGATTAAATGACCTTTTGAATCCTAAAGCTCCAATCCAAGGTCGAAAAAGAAAATCTAAATTTATGGACCAACAGTCTATATCAAGAAAGGCAGAACAATGTAATTGGTAATCATTAAATTAATAGGTCATTAGGAATCTGGAAAGAAAGATCTTTTTCCTTGTGAGAGTACAAAGAACTCACATCATACTCGTCGAGGCGACGATCACATATCCAATCATAGCCCCCCAGAGCATTGCATACTGCGCAATTGCACATACTAGGACGTCTCTAGGACCTAAAATTCAAATAAGACACAGATTCTGCTATAATTCAAGTAGCCGAGACTGTATCATTTGAAAATATTAATAACAATTTCTCTTCGATGTAATTAAGATTAGAGATACTAACCTAGGCATGATCTGATGACATCCATGTAAGTGTAGTTCCTCCTCCCCTTAACAGGGTCAGGAGTTCTGTAACAGTCGCAGAGTAAGATGGCAGTGTAATAAGTGATGTAGGCGCATGCAATTAGGAAGAGGGGACCGATGATCCACCCCATTTGAGCTACACTCCACGGCAATGCCAGTACACCCGATCCAATAACCGCTGTGATCGCATGTGTTGTCGCCGTCCATACAGTCCCTTGACCCAAAAAAATTATGAATGAAGGATCAGTGAAGAGTTATGGAAAAAAGTTAAGGGTAAATTACAAGAAACCCCCTCCATGTAAGCCTGTTTTCTCAAGAAAACCCCAATCTGCTAAGCTATCCCCGTGATCTAAGATAGATATTAAATACCGCTCTTTTTAAAATATGCGTGTGAGGATCAACTTTAAATGCCAAAAGGCTTTTATGAAATTTAAACATGGGCTGTGGAATTTAAGTTTAATCGCCTTGCATGCATCACGAGTTTAGCCTAATACTACCTTAAAAGCAAATAATTTTAACAATTACTATAGATCATTTAACTACCATCAAGGGGTATTTTATTGCATGCGTTAAATGCACTTGATTTTCAAAGCATGAGTGCGAAGGAAACTCTTCCTATATAGTACATGCTTGCTCCATCATGAATCATGATCAACGTAAATTAGAACTTCTGAATGCTAGCTGCACTTGTCATCAGTCTCAAATAGACTTCAAAGTCCATTTAAAAAACTCACAACTAGCCTTTAAAATAATGGATCATGGGTCCCTCAAAGATATGCTTGATGATGAAATTACTTTTAATTATGGAATCTATTTTCAGTGATATATCATATATTACTTTTAGCAAAGTGAGGAATAAGTAGGCAAAGGAAAGGCCTCAACCTTATGTAGATATATCATATATTACTTTTAGCAAAGTGAAGAATATGGAAAGTAGGCAAAGGAAAGGCCTCAACATTTTGTAGGCCTACCAAAGAATCCTACTTTGAATACAAAGAATATGATACTTAGTTGTAAATTATTACCATGGAATTTGGATCCTTTCCACTAAAAAAAAGTAGTAGACAGACCACTATTTTTAATTTAGCCATTAATTATGCAGTGGGTGACTATGATACATTCTAATTATAATACTTACCGTACCCCGTGTATTGTACTCATACCTAATTTGCACTCAAAGAAAAAAAAAATTATAATCACCCACAAGATAATCAATAATCGTGATTAAATACTAGCCTCTCCACTACTTTTTTGATAGTGGAGAGGATCCAAATCCATTTGTTAATAGTTAAAAGTTTGATATTTATGGAGGCCGCCTCAGTGTTAGGGATCATGGTTGCATCAGTACTCACTTTTTGTAGTGAGGCAATATATGAACTTTATTTGTTCTGTTTAATGATGTCATGAATATAGTTGGCGGAATTGCTAAATAGCCCTTATTTCATAGAAGATATTATCTGGTCTTTGTCCATAAACTAAGTCATGTTATAGTTTTCTTGGCATGACAAAATTCTTATGTGGAATTTTTTAAGCATTGGATCAGAACACAATGAATTTTAGAGGCTTAATTCCATTAGGTTCATTAAATTGCTCAAAAATATTTGTGGATTAAATTCCAGTACGATTCATGTAACATAGAAATTACTAAAAATTCATTTATTTATGCTACACATGTGGAAAACATAGTTGACCTTGTTTTTCACTTCAAAGATTGCCACTTTACAGTAGTACATAAAGATAAAAAATTAAGTGATACAGCTTTGCTCAAATGCAAAATTCATACCAAAACTGTGTAGAAGATTCTACAAAATTCAATATCAAGCCATATATAGGAGGAAAAAAAGCATCAATTCCATATTACACTAATGATGGGCAGCCAATAATTCAACCTCTATCTTGGTTTTACTATAAATTTCTAAAATATACTCTTTTACCATTTTCCAAGAAAGGAAATTATTGTAGCAAAAATGAAACTTCGAATATAATTGCGTAAACGCAAAGTTTTAGCTTCCTAAATGTGGTAAAAAAACACGCAGCTAGCTGACTTAAAAATAAGCTCAAATCCTCAACATCAAATTTTTTTTTAACATTAAAAAAATATTCTATTTAATATGCGACTAATAAAATAGACTTACTTGTGAAAATGGCTTTCATTCCACTTAGGCAATTGGTTTGGGTTTATAGAGAAGCGGAAACAAGTTAGCCATATGCAAGTTTGGAAACGTATATGGATGCTTCCTTCATCAACAAGATGCTAATTTCTCTTAAAAATCTAATTAAAAAGAGGGGAAAAGGAAGAAGCAGAAGAATAATAATAAGAGAAGTCATCGAATTAAAAACCCACCAAAACGACGCTTATAATGCTTGCATATATATCAGTTTTAATCATGATATGCATCAAAATTAAGTTAAATAAATTTTAATGATTTAACATACCTGTTCTGCTTCGGCCGTCATCATCTACAGCCATCTCCATTCTCAACTCTCTCTCTCTCTCTCTCTCTCTCACCCGAAGAGGTATGTTATCAATTTATATACTCTACGCTTTAGTAACACTCATGATTAATTATTTGAACCAATCGTTGCTACACCCAGAAAACTACCACACCACTTAGAAAAATTGGAAGTATACAAGTATGAAGTGTGGTGAGTGGAAGTTGGTGGATTTGGGATGAGAATCCTCTACATAGTTTTAAGTTTTTTTTTTTTTTTAGCGCCGCCATCATGGTTTGTGCACCGAATATTACAATGTGACCAGCACCAGAACAAAATAGCGCTCGCAACTTCTCATTCATTTATTGCGAGCAAAACTCAAACCCCTCTAACCCCCTAGATTTTTGCTCCTTCGCAATTATCCCTTCTCCCCACCGCAATATATCATTTGAAAAATTCCTCAAGAACCTAAAATATGGGATCAATAGAGGGGACAAGTGAGGTGTCCCCTTCCTATTGGATAATGAGTTGGTCATCATTAATGAGAGTCAACTCATTATCCAATATGAGGGGAACACCTCACTTGTCCCCTCTATTAGTCCCATATTTTGGGTCCCTGTAGCAAAGCTCATATCATTTGGGCTTTTATGCCCTTCGTTTCTCATTTAATTATCGTCATCATCTTGTAATACCCGATAGGTGTCATTTCTAATATTGAGTATCTTTCCCATCCTGGTATTTTCAGAGGGCTAATTTCCATAAGCGAGGGTATTTTAGGGTTTAATGGAAAGTGTAACATACAAATGGTATATTACCGCTATTGTAAAGGGGTATTAGAAGGGGAATTGAGGTTCAAGGGGTTTAAAGGAGTTTGACTTTTTTCCCCTAGGAGTGGAAAGCTTGTTTTCTAAAATTCCCGAACTTCGGGATTTCGAGGAGCGTTTGGTAAGTGGAGTGTTTTTTTGTTTCCGTGTCTTTTTAAAAAAAAATCAACCAAATGCGATTGGGAAGTGAAGCGTTTTTTTAAGCTGACCGTATACAAAAATAAAAAGTCCAACGGAAATCTCAAAACATCATATTGGTGTTTTGAGATTTCCGTGGTTTTTTCTCCCCAAACCCATCTCCGCCCCGACACCATCGCAGCCACTCCTCGTCGCCGCCCCGACCCGTCGCCCAACCTCCTACCCGACGATCGTCACCGCAGACCTATCTCCCAGCCTCCGACGGGAGAGAAGCAGGGACTCCGAGCTCGAGGCGGAGTTCCCCCGTTCTCGACGCCAGTCGCCGACGACTCCAACCTCTCCTCCCCCCTCCTCAAGATCCTTCCTTACTCCATCTCCTCACTCTCCTCTCCCTCCCAATCCGTCAGCAAATTGGTAAAATCCCCCAAATTCTAGGGTTTCTCCAAAACCCTAACCCCAAATTCTAGGGTTTCTCCAAAACCCTAACTCTAACTCCTTCCTACTTTCCGTTGCTAGGTTCTCGAGATTTTGAGTCTTGTGAACAAGCGAGTCACGCACCGGTCGGAGATCGGGCTGCCATTCTCAGAGATATGGATGGTTTACTGTGAGCTGTTGGTGGGTCTTGGGAAGCTGCCTCAATAGCATCAAGATATCATTTTGATGATTGTTGCAAATGTATGAGTGGTTAATTTTAGCTGCTTCATGAAAATCATTAGTAGTTTGGTCAATGTAGAATATATTATTTTGGTAACAATTAATTCTAACTTATGTTGCATATTCAAGAAATTATTTGAACTATGAATCTGCTCTGTGATTATTGGACTGTGTCTTGCATGTAATTGAGCAAGGATGCATAATAATTGAGTTTGACAAAATTTTCCAGTTTTGAAAACACCGTTTGAAAAATAAACACCTTGGTATGGTGTTTTTAAAAAAAAACACAACAAAAAGAAACACTTTGGTTACCTAACGCATCTCTCTGGATTTTAAAGTTTTTTCACCAGACCTTCTGATGTTATTACCTGTTGATGACGAAATGACCATTACATCCTTCTTAAAAAATAACCCCTGAAACCCCATGAAAATAATTGAGGGTTTGTTTTTATCCTTCTCTGTCACACATACTTGACACATTAGCTATCAAACTTCACCTTGTTAGTTTGGGATGTTAAATGAAACGAGTTCAAGGGGCTAAGTGTAATCAACGATTATATGAAAGAGATATATGATATTGATCCAAGGCATACAACATTGTTGTGAACTGCTCTCCTGATCAGTGGGCAAATGCATTCTTTCTGAGAATAAGTTAACGTTATACAACACATTTAGATTTGATGAATTAACAAGGATGCTTTTTGTGACTGAATTTAAGTTTTGCTTCGTAACTGTTAACTTTCATCACGAAATTGTTAATGTTTACAATATAACTGTTAACTTTCATTCTAGAACTCCTAACTTACAGTATATAACTAATAATTGTTAATAGTTCTCTGTTAACTTACATTGTTTAACTGTTAACTACAAACTATAACTGTTAACTTAACTGTTAAAGCTCTCCTAATATATTTTCAGGTATGGGCACTTAACATCTAATGTTGCTGAGTCTTTTAATAATTAGATAGCTAGAATGCTACGAATTCTACAAATATTTGAGCATATTCATAAATAATAATGGTCTAAATGAATAATCGTCGGGTACTTATAGATAAATGGGGTGGATATCTCTGTCTAAAAGTAGAGGTAGTGCTTAAAGAAAATATAAATAAAGATCGTCCATTGGATGTTAAACAAGCTGCAAATGACATATTTGAAGTGTAATCCCATAAAACTACACGTGTTGATTTGGAGAATAAGACATGCACTTACCGGGCTTGGGACATCATGTGAATTTCTTGTAAACATGCATGTGGAGTCATCTTGTGTATGAAGAGAGACATTAACCAATATTGATATTGGTTTATATCTATAGAAGCATTTAAAAGGACTTATGAGCTAATTCTCTATCCCATACCATTTTTTTAGAAGCGTAGTGTGCCAAAAAATTAAGATCGAGCTACTTCCACCACATACTACCAAAAGAAAGGGGAGAAATAAAACACAGTGTATCAATAATAAAATAGTTTACAAACGGCTTTTGAAATGCTCTCAATGTCATGCCTGTAGGCGTTAAAAATTGCATATAAGTTCCCGCACGCAGCTCGAGACGAAGAAAAGATGATGAACATCATTATCTTAATTAAAGAGGATTATCTGATGTCATTGAGAAGCTAACAAATGTACGAAGAGAGTTGATAAAGCATACAAATCAATGGGATGGTACAATAACGAAGAAGCGACTCGACCTGGGGTTATGTTTTACCCACAAAGAAATAAGAACCACTCATGTCTTTCTCATCCCATGGGTGTCTTGCTCATGAAAGGTTGTAGATCTCTTCGTGATCTTTCTAACGCACCTTAGATCACTTCATTCCAAGGTCGGACGAGGGAGTTAGAACCAAAATACTCGAGACCATTCAGGCGTTTTACACTAGCGAGACACAAAGTATGTCTCAGAGAAGAATAGAGATTTTGACCATGACTCGCTTTGAATTTGAAGAAACTCAAAAGACAAGAGTTGTAGGTATCTTTGTCATCTTTCCAATGTATCTTGAACCATCTCATTTCGAGTTTGTATGAAAGTGTTAAGACCAAAATACCCGAGATAGTCCAAGCTGTCTCGGACATGTGTGAGACAGTAGAAGTGACTCGCACCCATGTCAGCTCCCGACATGTTTTCTGATAAGATTGGCTTCTAGAACTCCTTGGTATCATCCATAAATATGTGGGGTTATCTATAAACATGTGGAAGCTGTTACATAACCGAAAACCCACCTAAACGGATAATAACAGTTGTTCTTCGATCCTATCCACAAACACAACATTTCTATACATAAACACGGTATTTAAAGCCTATAAATACACCCCTAGTACCCTCATAAGGACAGATCTGAAGGGAGCCACAAATTTCAGAGGAGCTAGGGTGAGATTCTGACGAATTTGAGAGAGGCTAGAAAGATCTTGGTGAATTCCTGTGCAAAAGAGTGGATTTCGAGAGATCTAAGGCATGTTCCCCATTTCCTCCGGATCAAACTTGGTTTTGATCTCGAGAAGAGTCATAATCTCGCTTGGATGAGATTATCACTCTAAAAATTACTTCTTTCATGAAGTAAGAGCTTTGATTAATAACTTTGTCAATCGGATCTGATCTGCGACGATCCACGGACTAACGCGTCCCCAACACAGGCAAAGACCCCACACAAGCAAGAGTTGATAAACAGTTCTTGTGTTTATTTTCTAGAAAGTTGTAATCTTTATTTTTGTTATTTGAATTTATTGTAAATGATCAAAGTTGTAATGAACTCGATAATGAAAACTAGTTTCGACGAAAACAAACTAGCGACCACAGTGAGAACCAACAGCTTCGCTGCCGAAGCTGTCGTGCCGTAACCACGGATCCAGATCCTGGTTGATGAAGAAGTCGAGTACAAATTCAACCAACTGAAGTTAGAGGAGTATGTGTCGTCCTCCTCCTCCAGATCCTCCGCCCCTCGCAAGCGCAGGAAGATCAAGACCTCCGTTGCTGTTGCCATCTCACCTTGCAACGCCCCTCCGGCCTTCAACGAGGCCGGATCTGCAGATATGGACTCCTCCTTAATCAAGGAGATAGTCGATGTAGCCGCGCAAACTTTATCGAAGAGAGCTCGCCAAAGGAAGTGCCAACGCTTCGTGTGCCAATTCGCTAAGGCTTTGGAGCCTGTTGACGGGATCTGCTATGAGGAGGATCTAAAACTCAGAAGGCACCGAGTGCTCTAGTAGCAAACAGATGTCCTCTCCTCCAAACTAACAGCGAATGAATAGATCCAAGTCAAACAGATCCGCTCAACCCTCAAGGAGTGCATTCAGAAGAGTCGCGTCTTGATTGTGCATGCACGGATTCTCGTACAAGAAGTGTAAAAGTTGAAGCAAGAAGAGGTGATCAAGAAACCACCAAAATCACACCAAGTCTGGAAACCAAAGTCCGAAACGGAGTTGATAAAAAGTCAAACAACGTCCGGAACTACCAGAATGCGCGAACCACCATCTCGTGGTTCAGCCAGAACTGAGCCACCAAATGGTGGCTCGGCCTGAACCGAACCGGTTTGGTTTGGTTCGCACCCGATTCACCTCCTGCAGTCCCGTTTAAGCCTCCGAAAGCCCCTATTCCTGTCTCGATGAATCTCGC